TGGCAGGCTGCCCCAGGTAAGTACATAAGATACAATATCTAACCAATCGATGATAATAACAAAAGTCTTACCCTATTCGTGTAGCATATGTTCCAGCGACACTAATCCCACTCACTCAGCTCTGGCACTCCCCGTTTCGATATAGGTCTAAGTACAGGCTTCCTATCCCTCCCCTCCCCCCCCCCAAAAAATTGAAATTTGACATATTTTTCCATTTGATGGTATACAAATATTACTCCGTACCTCCACATATTACCATGGGTGTTGTTCCTCGCTGTGGGAGGTTCGTTGTGGGTGGGTCTGCAGTCTTGTGACTTGAAGGGGAGGTGGGGGCAGAGGGGGAGGAAATGGGGGGGAGGATTAGAAGATGAATAATAAATATTTCAAGCCCATACTCTCCACCACTGCCTCCCCACATACTCCTCTCAATCTTCTACATCAACCTCGACTTCAGCTTCAATTCCCCCTTCCCCTCTACAATGCTTTAACCTAAACGATTATAACGACCACTTGTACGATAATGTGAGTATGTTTACTAAGTGGAGGGGAATGGAAATTACGGCCAGTGGAGGTGGGTGAATGGGTGGGTGGGTGGGTTAGATGTAGGTGGGGTCATGGAGGGTTGGGATAAAGTCCAGCCTCCCGAAACTTACTGATCACTTGAATTATAAAGTGGCTGATATATATATAAGGAAGTTTGATCTGACTTTGTTCACCAAGTGTGTGTCTACTGGCTCGCCAGGTGTGTCTACTGCTTCGCCAGGTGTGTCTACTGACTCGCCAGGTGTGTCTACTGCCTCGCCAGGTGTGTCTACTGCCTCGCCAGGTGTGTCTACTGCCTCGCCAGGTGTGTCTACTGCCTCGCCAGTTTGTCTACTGCTTCCCCAGGTGTGTCTACTGCTTCGCCAGGTGTGTCTACTGCCTCGCCAGGTGTGTCTACTGCCTCGCCAGGTGTGTCTACTGCCTCGCCAGTTTGTCTACTGCCTCGCCAGCGTGTCTACTGCCTCGCCAGGTGTGTCTACTGTCTCTCCTTCATATCTTCTCTCTCTTCTCATCTCCTCTACTGCATAGATGACATATGAAATTCATAATTCTCCTCATTTCTTGACCAGCGACGCCTTCGCATCTGAGAAGGTCTAGGGTTCGACTCCCAGTGACCCGGAGTTCGACCTCCCAGTGACCCAGAGTTCGACCCCCCTTCCCAGTGACAGGGAGTTCGATCCCCAGTTGTCCAAGTGGTCGACCACCGGTTCGTCCACCGGTTTTTATTGTACATTGGTATGACTAGTAGCCGTCTTCCAGCTGCCTGGCAACTCTCCTTTGACTAGTAAATCATTAAAAAACAATGTAAGAGGTATACTGAGGCCCCCATTTATAGCGTCTTTCAACTTACGTGGTGATGCGTTGTGAGGTTGTATGGCTTTAGTCGTGTCTAGTCTTTATGGTAGCCTCATTACTGTGTTGTCACCTCACTGCTTGTGAGTGTGTCCTCATCTGTTAGCTCTTCTCTAACCACGGGGGCAGTTGGTGCGACTCAGTCGTTAACACCTCATGGAAGCAGGCATTAGCTTCCTCACATATTTCCTTGTTTTTCTCTGTGTGTTATCCTTCCCTTTTGTTAAATTTAGATTTTGTTAAATATAACCATTTTTTATTCACTTCTGATACTTGAGTATCTGTTTCTACTTCTGATTCTTGAGTATCTGTTTCTATTTCTGATTCTTGAGTATCTGTTTCTGCTTCTGATTCTTGAGTATCTGTTTCTACTTCTGATTCTTGAGTATCTGTTTCTACTTCTGATACTTGAGTATCTGTTTCTACTTCTGATTCTTGGGTATCTGTTTCTACTTCTGATACTTGAGTATCTGTTTCCACTTCTGATACTTAAGTATCTGTTTCTACTTCTGATTCTCGAGTATCTGTTTCCACTTCTGATACTTGAGTATCTGTTTCTACTTCTGATTCTCGAGTATCTGTTTCCACTTCTGATACTTGAGTATCTGTTTCTACTTCTGATTCTTGAGTATCTGTTTCTACTTCTGATACTTGAGTATCTGTTTCTACTTCTGATTCTCGAGTATCTGTTTCCACTTCTGATACTTGAGTATCTGTTTCTACTTCTGATTCTCGAGTATCTGTTTCTACTTCTGATACTTGAGTATCTGTTTCTACTTCTGATTCTTGAGTATCTGTTTCTACTTCTGATACTTGAGTATCTGTTTCTACTTCTGATTCTCGAGTATCTGTTTCCACTTCTGATACTTGAGTATCTGTTTCTACTTCTGATTCTCGAGTATCTGTTTCTACTTCTGATACTTGAGTATCTGTTTCTACTTCTGATTCTTGAGTATCTGTTTCTACTTCTGATACTTGAGTATCTGTTTCTACTTCTGATTCTTGAGTATCTGTTTCTACTTCTGATACTTGAGTATCTGTTTCTACTTCTGATTCTTGAGTATCTGTTTCTACTTCTGATACTTGAGTATCTGTTTCTACTTCTGATACTTGAGTATCTGTTTCTACTTCTGATTCTTGAGTATCTGTTTCTACTTCTGATACTTGAGTATCTGTTTCTACTTCTGATACTTGAGTATCTGTTTCTACTTCTGATTCTTGAGTATCTGTTTCTACTTCTGATACTTGAGTATCTGTTTCTACTTCTGATACTTGAGTATCTGTTTCTACTTCTGATACTTGAGTATCTGTTTCTACTTCTGATACATCAGTTTTCATTCTCTTATGTCTCTCGTTTCAGTCATTACAAATTTTAATAGAAAGTTCCTTTTAATAGAAACTTCCACAAAGTTTGTGCCCCATGTTCTCCTGTAGTAATGAGGAGTTCAGGATTCCCAGCCTATCACTCCACCATTTTAGTTCGTTGTCGTGATCAGAAATGTTGCGTTCATTATGTGTGTTGTATTGTGTTGCTGTGTGTTGTGCATCATTGTATTGAGCAGTCTACTTGCGTGTGTGTGTGTGTGTGTGTGTGTGTGTGTGTGTGTGTGTGTGTGTGTGTGTGTGTGTGTGTGTGTGTGTGTGTGTGTGTGTGTGTGTGTGTGTGTGTGTGTGTGTGTTGTACACCACAAAACTATATTTCTCATTTTCTCCTTAGAAAACCGCCACCAGCACTAGCACCATCATGAAGGTTGTCCCCATCACCATCACCTTCCTGCTGGTGGTGAGCCTCGTCACCCTCTCCAGCAGGAGTGCCATAGCTGCCCCACCCCCGCAGCCCAGCGACCAGCCAGCAGCAGCAGCAGCCTCTGCCCGCCTCATCATCGTGCCCTTCCCGCTGCTCAACTCGCTACATGAGAGCGAGGCATCATCCTCGGCCGCGGGAACGGCGTTTCTAACTGCGGCAGAAGCCGCTTTAGCCGCCGTGGGTCTCGCCGGGGTGGCCTCCTCCCTCACAGGGATCAACACCGCAGGTGTCGCAGGTGCCGCAGCTGCCGTAGAGGCCGCTGTCGCTAATGCAACAGCTGCGGTAACAGCAATAGAGACAGCAGCAGCCGGCACAGGGGTCCAAGCCTCTACAAGTCTATCCAACATACTCTCCTATCTTCAGTCCGCGTTGACATCTGGCTAATGGAAGGTGAAGAGGGCGAGGTCGCTAGAGCGCTCTTGTGTTCCTCTCGTGCTTCATTTACCTCTTGAGTTACTCTTGAGTCACTCTTGAGTCACTATTAAGTCATTGTTATGCCCATGTTCATTCACATCATCAATCACTTGTTATTTCCTGATATTTGTATGTATTTTTTTATACTGTTATCTAAGTCACTGTTGTGTTAAGTCAATGTGGTACTGAATGTGGTGCTGTCACTGTTGCCTTGTGGTAAATGTTATTGGTCACTGTTGTCTAAATTACTGTTGTCTAAATTACTGTTGTCTAAGTCACTTGTCTAAATCACTGTTGTCTAAGTCATAGTTATCTAATCACTGTTGTCTTGTGGTAAATGTTACTAGTCACTGTTGTCTAGGTCACTATAATCTAAATCACTGTTATGTAAGTCACTGTTGTCTTACGGTACACATCATATCTGTTACCGCTATTCACCGTTGCCTTCATAGTGGGACAGTGAACTATGCAGTGACTAAGGGGTTGTTAAGTAGTAATACTTGCATTCAGCTACTTAAATAAATGTGATACATATTTCTGGCATGTTTCCTTGTGACGTCTCTCGACCTTTGACCCCCTAATTCAACCTAAACCCAGGAAAGGTTGACCTCAGATCATGGCCACAATATCTAAGAACAACGTCAATTCAACGTTTTCAACGACGTTGAAATGACGTTGATTCGACGTCGAAGCACCGTCGCTTTTGGATACTGTGCCGACTTAGTACACAAACTTCCCTCCTGGAGAGAGAGAGATACATAAGGAGAACGTCAAGTACGTTCTCTGCTAAGACGAAACGTAAGGAAGGATGGGTGGGAGGAGGAACGTAATTAAGTTGAAAATGTGAAAACGGGTGAGTGATGTGAGTCTGGTAGCTGAGTTAGGGTGGGGTGGGGGTCGGTGAGTAAGGGTGGGTGCGGTAGGCAGATCTTAAGTTCATTTGAAGAATATTAATCATCTCATATACACCCCTCCCCCCTTCTCTCAGGACTATCAAGATCCCTCCTCTCAATCCTCGCATCTGACCCCGACTTGAGCTAAGGGCCACAACCAACAGTTAATTAGGTCACAACTAAATAGGCGTCTTGTAATTCAACCTTGAGGGTCATGCAGTTTCTGTTCCACACAGAAGGTGTAGAGGAAGTTTTGATAGGAGAGGTTTGAGTATGTGGGGTGCAGGGGTTTCTCTGGAATCTCCTCGCCCCCCCCCCCCTTCCTTCCCACATCAATCCACCCCCCAACCACCACCCTCAACCCCCCAATCACCCCCTCAACCCCCCCAACACCCCCTCAACCCCCGTATTGTCGTGTATTGCCGAGAATCTGGCAATATAAAAGCCCGCTCCAGTTGTCCACACTGCCAGGTGTGTGTGTCTCTGCTGCCTCGCCAGGTGTGTCTGCTGCCTCGCCAGGTGTGTCTGCTGCCTCGCCAAGTGTGTGTCTGCTGCCTCGCCAGGTGTATCTGCTGCCTCGCCAGGTGTGTCTGCTGCCTCGCCAGGTGTGTCTGCTGCCTCGCCAGGTGTGTCTGCTACCTCGCCAAGTGTGTGTCTGCTGCCTCGCCAGGTGTATTTCTGCTGCCTCACCAGGTGTGTCTCTGCTGCCTCGCCAGGTGTGTCTGCTGCCTCGCCAGGTGTGTCTGCTGCCTCGCCAGGTGTGTCTGCTGCCTCGCCAGGTGTGTCTGCTGCCTCGCCAGGTGTGTCTGCTGCCTCGCCACGTGTGTCTGCTGCCTCGCCAGGTGTGTCTGCTGCCTCGCCACGTGTGTGTCTGCTGCCTCGCCAGGTGTGTCTGCTGCCTCGCCAGGTGTTTCTGCTGCCTCGCCAGGTGTGTCTGCTGCCTCGCCACGTGTGTGTCTCCGCTGCCTCGCCACGTGTGTCTGCTGCCTCGCCACGTGTGTGTCTCCGCTGCCTCGCCAGGTGTGTGTCTGTTGTCAAAATCAAAACAAATTAAATCAACAACTTAAAAATTCTTGGAAAAGAGGCTGTTCAATGCCAAACTTATGTTAGCAATGTCAAGCTTGTGGCAGTATAAGCAATGAAAGGAATAGATAAATAGATTGAGAAAGCGAGTGAGTGTGTGTGAGAGAGAGAGTGAGAGACTATTACATATCTCACATTATTCCTCATTAAAGTGTATTTTTCAATGTCTCTTGAGAAGACCGCTTCCAGCACCACCATGAAGGTCGTCCCCGTCACCACCGCCATCACCTTCCTGCTGGTAGTGAGCCTCGTCGCCTGCCCCAGCAGGAGTGCCATAGCTGCCCCACTCCCGCAGCCCAGCGACCAGCCAGCAGCAGCAGCAGCAGCCTCTGCTTCTGCCCGCCTCATCGTCGTTCCCTACCCTCTGCTGGAGTCGCTGACGGCACACCACGCCGCAGCTGCTGAAGCGACGACCGCAGCTGCTGAAGCGACGACCGCAGCTGCCGAAGCGACGACCGCAGCTGCCGCCAAAACCGCTGTAGCTAGGTAAAGACCGCAGCAGTAAAACAGCTCCACAGCAGGTTACCGGAATGTGTCATCCCTCCTGACTGTGTTTACGGCTAGGTAATAAACAGTAGTTGAGGCAGGGATGGCGCGCTCGCCTCTCCGCCTCTCAATTACCACTGAATCACCGGCTGAATCACTGTTAAATGCCCATTGATTCACTGTTACATTACTGCTAAATCACTGTTGGTTCCCTCTGTTTAATCCCTGTTAAACCGCATTAATTTTCATGCGTTGTCAACTCACCGTTAATTCTGTGTTATTTCACCGTTACCTGAGTCACTGTTTATTCACTGTCGCCTGAGCAGCGCCAGATAGTGACTCCAGTTACCAAGAAAGCTTACTTGAATAAATATTGTATATATATTAGCTTGTTTCTTTGTGATCTCTTGACCCCTGTGTAGCAGCGACCTCTGACCCCAAGTGTAGCAGCGTCTTGTTTAAGGAAAGTTAGAGAGCCATTAATTATGCATAAGAAATCATGCTAATTTATTGCTAGTGACTTAGAATAGGAGTAATAAACAGATGATGTTTGGTTGAGCTACTTCCCCTCTTCGGGAACCTTGCCGAAGTCGGCGTTGGAGAGGTCGTAGAGGGTCTCGGCCTGTTCGCAGGGGAAGGCCTCCAGAGGGTGGGAGCAGGTGAGGGACTCCTGACTGAACACCGTCTGGTTGCCGCAGAAGAAGGAGAACTGGGCGGTCTCGACCACCTCGCCCAGGTCGTCAGAGATGGGCAGACACACGTGGAATACCCGGCAGTCGGTGGGCACGTCCGCGTAGTAGCCGTAGTTGCGGCCGGCGCACTCGAACGATCGTGCAGGTTCAGCGCCCAGCACTTCCAGGTAGCCGTCGGAGAACAGGTAGGCGGAGCGGGCAGCAGCCAGGGCGACCAGACCGAACAGGAGGATCACAACCTTCATATTGGATGCTGTTCTGGAAGAGATTCATCTCGGTGAGTGCCATACAATCACGCTGTCACCGGTGCCAGTGTCAAGCGGATCTTAGCCATTGAACATCACCTGACGCAAGATGGTGATCCCATCTTGCTAACCTCTTAAAGTGGCACTCTTAGGATTAACAAGTCTCCGCTCCATGAGGACACTGGCATAAATCACAGTTGCTGTCAGCAGTCATCGCATATAATTAGATTTTCGTTCTATAGACTAATGCAAACATATATGATAAATTCAGTAAATATAAATACTTTGTAAATATACGCACTCCATGACTATCGAAAGCTGCGTCTCAGGGCGAGGTGCGTAGCTACGCATATAGTGGAGCCAAAGCGTACAAATTAGTTGTCAAATTGTGAGAATGGTTGTAAAGACAAAATTACTTAAGATAAGCCCTTTCTTGCTCTGGTCTTGTTCAATATAAATGTCCGACACCAATATATGTCCAGCACCCGTTTAAATGTCCAGTACTCATCTAAATGTTGGAACACCTGTCTAAATATCCTGCACTCATCTAAATGTTGGAACACCTGTCTAAATATCCTGCACTCATCAAAATGTTGGAACACCTGTCTAAATATCCTGCACTCATCTAAATGTTGGAACACCTGTCTAAATATCCTGCACTCATCTAAATGTTGGAACACCTGTCTAAATATCCTGCACTCATCAAAATGTTGGAACACCTGTCTAAATATCCTGCACTCATCTAAATGTTGGGACACCTGTCTAAATATCCTGCACTCATCTAAATGTTGGAACACCTGTCTAAATATCCTGCACTCATCTAAATGTTGGGACACCTGTCTAAATATCCTGCACTCATCTAAATGTTGGAACACCTGTCTAAATATCCTGCACTCATCTAAATGCACAGTATTCATCCAATGTGCAAAACTAGTTGTCAATTGTCAATATTATCATTGCTAATACTCTCCTTCATTCCCCAGGAAGTTCAGAAGTCATTCGAATGATCAACATTAATCTCTCTCTGATCAATACTGAATGAGTAACACTCGGATGCTCATTGATTACCACACACTGATAAGAGTCCAATAGACTCAGGAACCTGTATATCAGTTGATGGGCAGTTGAGAGGCGCGATCCAAGAGGCGAAGCTCAACCCCCGCATGGACAACTAGGTGAGAATTTTATAATCAATTAACTCTCAAGACTCACATTCTCGGTGAAGATCAATACTGTGAGTTAATAATCAACCCTGATAGTTAATGATCAACATTGATAGTTTTTGATCATGCAGAGAAGTGTCTTAATCGCTCCTTCCCTCCACCTTCTGTGTACTTCCCTCCACCATCTGTGTCCTTCCCTCCACCCTCTGTGTACTTCCCTCCACCCTCTGTGTACTTCCCTCCACCCTCTGTGTACTTCCCTCCACCCTCTGTGTACTTCCCTCCACCCTCTGTGTACTTCCCTCCACCTTCTGTGTACTTCCCTCCACCCTCTGTGTACTTCCCTCCACCTTCTGTGTACTTCCCTCCACCCTCTGTGTACTTCCCTCCACCTTCTGTGTACTTCCCTCCACCCTCTGTGTACTTCCCTCCACCTTCTGTGTACTTCCCTCCACCTTCTGTGTACTTCCCTCCACCCTCTGTGTACTTCCCTCCACCTTCTGTGTACTTCCCTCCACCCTCTGTGTACTTCCCTCCACCCTCTGTGTCCTTCCCTCCACCCTCTGTGTCCTTCCCTCCACCCTCTGTACTACCCTCTACCCCGTGCCCCGAGAATGTGCGTTACTCACGCGGGAGGCGCTGGAGAAGTGACGAGAGACAAGTCGCGGGGCTCGTTTTAAGTACCCCTTCCCTGTCCTTCACCTGCCTGCCGGTGCCAGGGACGGAGGGGCAGGGGCGCCGTGACCTCTCAGGAATCTCCCTGGTCAATATCCCCTCAGGAGGAGAGGGAGGGAGGGAGTGAGGGAAGGGGGGCAGGGAAGGAGACATCCCTTGTGTGCCAGGATCGTTGTACTTACACAGGAGCCAAAGAGGGTGTGGATGAGGTGCCGGTGAGGACAAAAGGTCCTATCATCAGTGTTTTGTTTTACTGTCCAAGCTTGTCTTTCCTTGGGTTAAGTGCCTTACCAGGGCCAAGTCCTTCTCCATCGGCTGAGTGACTTCTGTCCGAGTGCATTCCCTCGTCAAGTGACTTTCACTGCATCATGGTAACTACAGAGGGAAGGTAAGGCAGGGAGGGTGGGGGGGATTATGTTGCATTGAGAAGGGTACGTATTGTCATTGGTTATTTTACCCCTTGATAAAGAGTACACCTTGACGCTGTACCTCAGTTGTACCTCCTGGTACAGGAACTCTTTGGTCAACGGTAGTCTTAGGTGAAGGTACCCGTGTCTAAGGTATCGCCTGGTTGAGAAATATGATCAGGGTACGCACCCCCTGGCTAACGTACTCCCTGACTAACGTACCCCCTGGCTAACGTACTCCCTGGATGATGCACCCCCTGGCTATCGTACTCCCTGAATGACGCACCCCCTGGCAACCGTACTCCCTGAATGACGCACCCCCTGGCTAACGCACCCTCTGGCTAACGTACCCTCCGTTAAATAAGACTGTATACTGCCGAAGCCTTGAAAACAACGATTGTTTGTAACTTTCCGCTCCTCCTCTACACTCTGTCATGGTTATTACGCCATTCCCCAGTCCTTCCCCCTCCCCCACGCCTCATACAACACCACCTCAACCCTCCCACACGCCTCATACAACACCCACTCAACCCTCCCCAACCCCCCTCCCTTTTGACAACCCCCTTCTGTTTGACCCCCTCCTGGGTCAAACAAACAGCACAGCTTGGCGTGTCCATACCATTATTCATGTTTTACCAGTTCGGCCGGTTGGGGGCGGGTGTGTCTCTACCAGCCTGTGCTGACGTGGCGTTACGATGGGGGTCCCTCTTCCCCCTGTCGTCCGGGCTCAGTCTGCGGGACTGGAGTTCTCTGTGCGGGCCGGTTACCCGGAGATTGCGCTGGCTTGTGATATGCTCTCTGTCCCTGTGTTTGAGATTTATGGGGTCGAGTTGGTAACGGCCCGTAGGGCGATTGTGAACTTCACAGAGGTGGCGGAGGTTCATGTGCCTGCTGGTGCTGATGCCCGTGTCTCGGGTGTGTCTCCTGTTTCTTCCTCGCCCGGGGGCTCTCCGCAGTGGGGTGTGGTGGCTTCCGCTGCCAGGGATGGTGCGGATGCTGGTGCTGGGCGTGGCCTGGTGGTGACTTTACGTAAGGATATGCACCGCCATGATTCCCTGCAGTCATCTGGTGGTGTGCCCATGGCCGCTGGTGCCCCTGTGGTGGTGCCCTCTGTTGAGCCCTCTGTCGAGCCCCCTCCTGCGGTGTTGTGCATTGAGGACCTGGAGGCCCGGGTTGCCGAGTTCCTGCTGCTTGAACGGCCGGAGGACTTTTCTGGTGGGCGGGTTCCGGGTGTATGGGATCGGGTGGCGACTACTGGCGTCCGGAGGGACACCGTGTGGGTTCCACGTCTGCGGGTGTTTGTTTCCGAGGTTCCGGTTCGCATGGCGCCCCCGGTGTTAGGTCACGCCTCCTGGACAACGTGGCGCCCCCGGTGTTAGGTCACGCCTCCTGGACAACGTGGCGCCCCCGGTGTTAGGTCACGCCTCCTGGACAACGTGGCGCCCCCGGTGTTAGGTCACGCCTCCTGGACAACGTGGCTGCTTTGGGAGGCGTTCAGTGTGCGGTTTCCACCGGATATGTTCCCGGGCAAATATGTCCGCTGATTTCATGTTACTGTAGTTGTTGTTTTTGTTGGTATTCTTGGCTAGTTGGGTGCTGTGCGAAGTGTCTTGTTATGTTTCTTGATGTACTTTATGTTGGGTCTTGTTCTCGGTCCTTCAGGCCAGTGCATCTATGTTCTTGTGTTTGTACCTGTTTTGTTTTCTGGTTTGCGTGGTTTGCTTGTTTATTATTATTGTTGATTTTGGCCTCGCCCTTTGTTTGTTACGGGGCGGATGGTTTGGTGTGAGTGTTGTTATTCCTGTATTGTTTCTGACCTGGTGTTTTCATATTGCTTTACCTCTTGTATGTGTTTGTTCTTTATGTTTTGTTTGGAATGTATTGTGATTGTCCTGTTTCCTGTTATGCCTCTTGATGTATGTTTTGTTTTATGCAGCTTTTGTTTTGTGATGTTAATGTGATTGCTAGTTTGCCATTGTATTATGTTTTTTTTTTTTTTTTTTTTTTGAGATATATACAAGAGTTGTTACATTCTTGTACAGCCACTAGTACGCGTAGCGTTTCGGGCAAGTCCTTAATCCTATGGTTCCTGGAATACGATCCCCTGCCGCGAAGAATCGTTTTTTCATCCAAGTACACATTTTACTGTTGCGTTAAACAGAGGCTACAGTTAAGGAATTGCGCCCAGTAAATCCTCCCCGGCCAGGATACGAACCCATGACATAGCGCTCGCGGAACGCCAGGCGAGTGTCTTACCACTACACCACGGAGACTGCTATTATGTTTCCTGCCTTGATGTATGCTGTATTTTTCTTTGCATTTATCGTGTTTGTGTTTTGTTGTGCTGTGGTGTCGGCTCTTGTGGCCGGTGGTCAGAAGAAGAAGAAGAAGCCGGTGGTTTTATTTTGTTTTGTTCTGTATTCTGTGTTGTTTTTATTGTATTTAAATTGTATGCTTTGCATGTAAAAATAAAAAAAAAATACCATTATTCATTCATTCATTCATTCATTCAGTGCCATGAAGATATACTCACAGCTTAAGTTCCATACAACAGTAAAATGATACACAAAGCTTAAGATGTTACTCTGCCTACACTACACACACACACACAGTACACACACACACACACACACACACACACACACACACACACACACACACACACACACACACACACACACACACACACACACACACACACACACAAGTATCATCTCAACATCAACATATCACACACAAGGTATCATCTGGGAGGGGA